CTATCTCAAGTGGTTTGACTCCTGATTCACAAATACGCATTTAATCCGGAAGAAGTGTGAACGCAAACCGCGGAAATTTTTGTCAAATAGGATTTGAAATATGTAATTTGTAATCTAGTTGGCCAATTGCATAATAAATAGTTATTTTTAGACAGTCAGGAAATATCTCTATATTAAAAGTAACATTGACAATGAGTTGAGCAGTGTGCTCTAAAACTTAGTTGTTGAAAAAATTGTAGATTTCGGTAAATTATATTTGAGGAGAGCGCTAAAAATTAATGTTTAGCTTTGATTAAGAAGTGATTGAAGTAAAGTGAATAATGAGGTATAGTTATGCATATGAAAGTGATTGAAATAATATGAATATTGAGGGAAAAGGTATACGTATGAAAGTGATTGAAGTAAAATGAATCATGAGGTGTAGCTATGCACATGAAAGTGAATGAAGTAAAATGAATAATGAGGTGTAGCTATGCACATGAAAGTGAATGAAGTAAATGAATCATGAGGTGTAGCTATGCATATGAAAGTGAATGAAGTAAAATGAATCGTGAGGTATAGCTTTGCATATGAAAGTGAATGAAGTAAAATGAATCATGAGGTGTAGCTATGCACTTGAAAGTGAATGAAGTAAAATGAATCATGAGGTGTAGCTATGCTTATGAAAGTGAATCAATAAAATGAATCATGTGGTATAGCTATGTGAATGAAGTAAACTGAATCATGTGGTATAGCTTTGCATATGAAAGTAAATGAGTTAAAAATGAATCATGAGGTATAGCTATGCATATGCAAGTGAATGAAGTAAAATGAATCATGAGGTATGGCTTTGCATTTGAAAGTGAATGAAGTAAAATGAATCATGAGGTGTAGCTATGCACATGAAAGTGAATGAAATAAAATGAATCATGAGGTATAACTATGCAAATGAAAGTGAATGAAGTAAAATGAATTATGAGGCGTAGCTATGCATATGAAAGTGATTGAAGTAACATGAATCATGAGGTGTAGCTATGCATATGAAAGTGAATGAATTCAAGGGAATTATGAGTTGTAAATATGCACATGAAAGTGAATGAAGTAAAATGAATCATGAGGTTAAGATATGCATATGATAGTGAATGAAGTAAAATTAATCATGAGGCGTAGCTATGTATATGAAAGTGATTGAAGTTATATGAATCATGTGGTGTAGTTTTGCATATGAAAGTCTAACGTTTAACAATTATAGAAGTCGAAAGCACAGTTATACAAAATTTTGCTGTTTTCAGATTATGCAAGTTTACAAGAAAAGCACATTTACTGGAACAATGAAAAGCAAAAATTTCCTCTCGTACTTTTGTTTGGTTCTGAAAAACTTTTTAGTCTAGGGTTTTTGAAAATGTACTCACTGATTTCTGATATTTGACTGATAATCTCCAAATCTAGATGTAGTTTCGACATGCAGTTGCTGCAACTAATTAAAAGGCCAATTAACACGTAATCATATTTTTTATTGAAATTTTGTTAATAGTACAGTTAGTATAAGATTGATGTATACAGAAATCGTTAGCTATCGCCGTATTGCACGTTAATTCATTGAAAAATTGATTTTGATGTCACGAACAGAAAGAAATGTGGCACATTATAAATAATACTAACATGAAATTACTTTCTATATGTCAAATAAATTTCTGTAATGGTTAACCATCACTACAAGAAAATGATACTATCAATGTTAGAAATATTTATACTACTATAAATTCAGAAATTATTGCGTGCATTTATTATTGCGATTTTGTCATCATAGACTAAAATGCGATTTTAATTTTTGCGATATTGAGAAAAATCCTGTTTAATTCATATAAAATATTTCAAAATGCGAGTTTAAATTATTGCGAATATAACCCTGTCGCATTTTTCGCAATAATAAAAACATCGCAATAATTTCTGAATTTACAGTATTAATGTTAGTCAAGAAATTTATACTATCAATGTTAGAAATGTTTATACTATCAATGTTAGAAAAGAAATGTATACTATCAATGTTAGAAATATAATTTTATACTATCAATGTTAGAAATATTTATACTATCAATGGTAGAAATATTTATGCCTCAGCTGAAGGTTTTATTTGATACATATAATAAAACAATAAGAATAGGAAATACACTTAACTCAAAGGTAATTCACCAAAAGGAAAGTTCAATTCGGTGAAAACTTGAAACTCTTTACATGTCAACTGACTGTAAGGCGATAGTTCGTAGAAACAAACCTCTTAACAATCTTAGAGAACACCTATTCTTATAGAACGGAAGAAACGTCGTTAAGGACAACAACCACTCAAAACTCGATAATCTTCTTCTTAACATGACAAGTTCAAACTGGCTTCCATAAGAAAAACGGCTTGTCTGCATCTCGTAAATAAAAAGGGCCGAATTGCATTCGTGTGCTGTTTCTTTAGTCTCCACTATTCGTCACTACGAATATATCTAATTGAACACAATTTTTCTTTTTCAAAAGTTTTGCTCTGGAGCGTTAGTATGTTACTACCACAGGGTCGGACTGTGGTTGGTACATATACTGACCGACTTTAGAAACGCAACACTCGATTATTGTTTTAGTTTTTCATTTTAAAATACACATGATGCATGAAATACTAAATTGAATATAAAGTTGATTTATTTCTTCATCGTCTAAGGTAAGTTTGAAAGTCGAAAGATGAATTGATTACGTTACGCTTAACGTTTAAATCATGTGGTATGCACTAAAATCCTGGTTTTCTCTTAACTATTGGTCGTGTCAATCGACAGCTGTTAAAAATCCCTAAATGATTGACAGAAAGGTTAACCACTACTGTTGAGAATGTTTTCAGTCAAGTTTTCCCCCTTCTGATTTTGCCCATTTTCACCCATTTCAGTCTGTTATTTTGCAGTAATGTGGTAAACACTGAAACCATTTACAACAAGTCTACAGTGGATAATGTGACATTTCAGCATTCGAGAAACATTGCTAATGTAAATCTGTCTGTCATGACATCCAATGACTTGGTAAAAAGAAATGACATTGTAGCTGTTATACTGTGCTGCAAATGACGTTACCTAATCTGATTGAAATGACGTGACGTTAAACTACAGGTAGACCGGTTCCATAGGTGGTCACTTACGAGTTATGACTACCTGTTCTGAAGTTTAAGGGACCTAAAAGTAGTTTTATGGCGCGAAATTGCTCTCAAAAGAACGTGCACTAAATTCTGTCTGTAAATTTCTAATGACTTCATTTCAATTTTCATTTCTCAGTCGTTACAAAAAGGAAAATCAACAACTTTTTACTGATTAAAACTTGGCAACTGATTCAAAGAAATGTTTAACGAGGAAAAAAGTTCTCAAAAAAATCATGTATGCGCTTCTAATTTCGCGTCAAGAAATTCGTGCGACGTCAAAATTCGACCATGTTTGATTGTCTGGGGAAATTCAGGTAATGATTTTTCTATTCAAAGAGGAGTACGGGAAGCATGATGAGCAATGAAATTAATATAAGTCATGATTTGAGGAAAAAAATAAACAAAATATGCGTTGCGTTTTTAAAGTCAGTCAGTATATAAACTGTCAGCGCGCAGTGTTACCATCCATCAATTTGCTAGTGATGAATTTATTGATACGTTTTGACTAAATCTGCAGTTTATACATACCATAACGTAATTGTAATAAAACTTAAGTTGGAATTGCCTGTATCAATTGAATCTAACCTTGTTTTTTAGGTGTATTTATACGACCCTATCCGAAGATGGTTACTAATAAGACACGTTAAATGCCGGATGAAATCGATATACTGTTTTAAATTACTATGTATACTAGTACCTTATTGGTACCACTGATTGTAGACTGGAAGTTCTTCCAGATAATATCCACATAGAAACCAGTGCTTGGTACTTTCACGACTTCAGTGACCATACATTTTCAGTTAATTAATTATTCAAATGAACAAAACTTTTTGTAATTTTTAAGGTTATAATGACATTTTGAACTCACATTGTCAATCGACTTCGACCAATATCAGATGGTAATCCTCGTACAATTGTAGCCACATTTGAGTTGAAAGACCGGCTTTAAGTTCTATAAAGTTTATGTAAAAATAATTATCAAGCTACTTTACGCTTTTTGTAAACTTTTGTTGTTCGAATTAAGCACTTTATTCGAATTCGTGTGCTATTATTTCTTTAGTCTCCACTATTCGTCACTACGTCTGTATACGACTATCTTTTGTAAAACACCACATAGTTCGTCATTTATATTGTATTTTGTTGCATTTTGAAACAGTGAAAAATAGTCTCAAACGTAATATCCATTTTGACCATAAAGTATATTGCAAATGGTTGTTGTCTTAAATCGTCTTGATGCGTCATCTCAACGCAGATTTTTTCCTTGGCAATTTATGATTTAACACCATTAATACCCAATAAAACATCTCTGGATAGAAATATTGAACTATACCTGCAAATATTTTGACGACATATTCTTTCTTATTGATTAAGACCAGCAGTAAAAAATATTTAGTTAAGATATTTCCTTATAATCAAATTTTTCTAAATATTCTTTTGAAAATTCGTCTTAAAAGAATTACGATATGAAATCATTTACAAAAAATGAATGATACATGTACTTTCAATGGACATAAATCTTCTTCTCTTGTATTTGATAATAAAGCATAATAATGTAGCAATACCTATTGCTTACGGTTGGTTATCATATCAATTTACTGTTAATACGAAACTCGAACTACTTAATCTACTGCTAAATCTATATTCAACCTTTGTTGTAAATTGTAGGGTACTATCGCCATATCTTCAAATTTCTTTTTTGTTTTAATATTGTTTGTCTATATCTGTTTTCGTTATGCCTTTCTGTGTCCTGTAAGTACTTTTGACATATTCAAATTACAACATAGGCATACATTGATTGTATATATTTATCCAGCATTAGCTATGAAACAAACAATAACAAGCGCTCTTTCTGTTGCAGGCAGTTACGGTTCCAGGGGCATGGATAGATTTATCAAAATGGCAAAGACATATAATGTTTGCATCCCATTCGATGAAGGAGTTCCAGGCACTGCTACAGTAAAAGATTTCACAAATATCATTGAACAGTTACTTAAAATAGCAAAAGCGCGGGTAATTGTCTGTTTCTGTGAAGGGAGGACTGTTAAAACTCTACTGGAAGCAACTAACAAAGTTGAAGGGGCAAAAGGCTATTTTCTTATACTAGGCAGGCAAGTTTATTAATATATATTCAAAAATGTATATACCATATTCACTATCCACTGTTTATTTTAACGAAAGTGTGTAGTGTTCGTAATGACTATACATCTGTTAATTTGCTCGTCCGCTCGTCCATGGCCGACACTTTGATTATAAAACTGCTTTTAAACCATGTAATGACACCAATGACATTTCAGAAAAGTTCAAGTACCTATTCGAATTATGCATCTCCAATCTTTAATTTTTTTTTTACGTAAATAATTTTCATGCTTTCCATATAAGGGACTCTTTGTATCTTGTATTAAAAGCTTCTCCAAAATATCCGACTGGATTTCACAGAAACTTTTTCAATATGCATTATGTGCACCAAGCTCTTGTTTTTGGTTTGGTTAAGAAAAATAATCCAGGGGTTCAGATGGACTTTATCTATGCAAAAGAGGGGAGGGGCATGTATTTCAGAGCTCTGCGCAGTTTTTACCTCATCTGGCCTTAAAACACCATAGGAGATTTTGCCATCATTTGGCGTCCGTCGTCAGTCGTAATTTTTTTAAAGATCGCTTCCTTTAATCAACTGAACTAATTTAGACCATGGAAGTATTATATATGTTTAGACCAAAGTTGACATGGTCGAACCTAGAGGTGTCTCAGTTATATTTTGTGAATTATATTATCATCATCCACTGGAAGCAATTGGCTAATTTTTTTGAAATCATAGTGGATACAGAAAAACCTATGAAGTGAAAATGTTCAGAATGTCAAGATCTAACTACTTTACAATTTTATCAAAATAATCAAACGACCCATTATATGACTTATTGTCCATTGCATTTACCTCTTTAAGCGTTTTTGCCTATTAACTTGAACATCTTATTAGATAGACAGAAACTGTAAAGAGCAAAACATATCGTCAACACAATCAATATCTACAAAAATACGAGTATGACTTAAACCATCAATTGACTTTTTATAGAAGTTTTATTGACGTAATTGCACTTAAAAGACGAATTTTGACTAATTTAATCGTTTTTAGGTATAATCTTTTAAGATTTTATAGATACTCTGAAACTATTTAACAGCAAAAATGGTCATCTATACAAGATCTATAAAAAATGTCAATATGACTGTAACCATCAATGAAATAGCCTAGCCAATTTGGAATACAAGTAAAACATTGCGGAATAAGGAAACAATAAACATCACCGTTATTATAGTTCCTTAAATCTTTGGCAACATCGTCTCGTTATTGTTTAACTTACAACATGTAATACATTTCTACATGTAATGTTAAACTGAAAAACGTTATGTCCATCGTATGCTTCTTGCATGATACATTTAATTTGTATTTCAAACGAATAACGTTTTATCTATTTTGTATATATATATTTATATATATTAATCCTCCAATCCTCCAACTGTTGTACAAACAAGTACATTCTGACCACGGAAGTGGTATACTATACGAATACCTCAACGTCCTGATCATGATTCTCAACCTGTATATAAGTAGACTAAGATTAATACTCCGTTTACTCCACCCTTTTCAAAATTTTACCAAATAAACTCTAACAATATCTTGGTATTCAACATTAAGATAAATGGATCTTGCTTTTTCAACTGAATTTTCAAAATGAGTAAGGGTTGAGCATTCGATAATTTTACTAATAATTCTTAAAGGGAGGGAGTGACTGTAAATAGTTTTTAAGGTGTAGAAACCATATGACAAGGATTTGTTAAATCATGAAGCGGAAAATGAATTATGTACCATAATAAGTATAGGAAAAAAGCTGATAAATAAGAGACTTGATCCTAAGTTGATTGAATTGATCCTTTGCTCATTTCGCGGCGTTTCGTCTTGAAATCTATAAAATAGATCAACCGCAAAATACCGTTTTAGAGATTAATGTTCTTCAGAGTATGGCGTGAATTGACTAGGTATGTTTTTTTCCAAAACAGCAAACACACAACCGAAATTCGAGAAATTCCATGTGCGTAAGCGAGTAGTGCGCATATTATTAGTCAATTATGTGGGAAATACATATTTTTGGGGGAATTCCGAAAGATAGTAATATAGTAGTATCTATAATATACTATAGCTGTTTGTATGTTATTACTTGACAATCAACGGTAAAAAGCATCGTAATAGATAACATTGCGCTTGCGTAATAACAAGTATACAAATAATGTCTCATGTTGTCCTGCTTCTAAATAAAATAAGGAGATGTGGTATGATTGCCAATGAGACAACTATCAACCAAAGTCCAAATGACGTAAGTTTTAGTAACTGTAAGTCGTCGTACGGCCGTCAATAATGAACAAAAATACCGTAAAATCGGATATAAAAGGCCCCAAAATGACAAAATATTAAACACTCCAAACGAAAAAAAAACCAAACGCCTTATTTATGACAAAACAATAAATAAAGAACAAATATGAAAGACAGCAATCAACGGCAACCACGGAATCACAAGCCCCTGACTTGGGACAGGCCCATATAGCATGTGGCAGGGTTGAACATGTTTGTGAGCGCTCAATCCTCTTCTATCGTGTGACAGCATAAGAACAAACTGTAACGAGAGTGCACACGCTGAAATGTCTCGCCTGCTTTACAGACCATGATTGATTGAATGTTGAAATTCTTAAAGATAAGGATTTATCTACAAGTATTAAATAAACTCAACATTATCATTGATCCAAGACAATGAGGTCAAGGTCAGATAAATCCTGAGACAGACATGTGACCTTACAACCAATCTATACTCCAAATGTAGTTGACCCATTGCTTATAGTATCTAAGAAACAGACTTAACCAAGACAACTCAAAATTTACCAATGAATCATGAAAATGAGGTCAAGGTCATATGATACATACCAGACAAACATTTGCACATTAAAATTATCCGTGCACCAAATATTGTTGACATATTGCATATAGTATTTAAGAAATAGACTTAACAAAGAAAACTTAACATTGACCAATGAACAATAAAAATGAGGTCAAAATTAGATGAAACCTGCCAGACAGACATAAACACCTTACATTCCATATATCAACTATAGTTGACCTACTTCTTATAGTATTTGAGAACGAACATAATCACGAAACATTAACCCTGATCACTAATCCATGAAATAAGGTCGAGGTTAGGTGAGCACTGTCTAACGGACATGTAGACCTTGCAAAGGACCCACATGCCAAATATAGTTATCTAATTACTCATAATAAATAGGAAATTTGCATACATAACCTTAACATTTAAACAGTCGCTGAACAATGGAAATGAGGTCAAGAACAATGGACATATGGCAGACATAATTTCGTAACATAAGGCATCTGTATACAAGGTATAAAGCACCCAGATCTTCTATGCACAAATAGCCAACCCTTCCAGAGCACCCGAGGTCACCCCCAGTTTTTGGTGTTGTTCGTGTTGCTCAGTCTTTAGTTTTCTATGTTGTGTTTCGTGTACTATTGTTTGTCTGTTTGTCTTTTTCAGTTTATTTTCGACTTGAGTTTGAATGCCCCTCTGGTATCTTTCGCATCTCTTTTTCTATCCTCTGAAATATAAAGCTTTATACAAATGGAATGAATTTCATAACAGCGTGGACATGGACACATGGTAATTAAGTATTATCGTTTGTATCACTGGCTGTCGACAACAAAGACTTCACGCAATTACAGTATGTCAGGTCCTCTCAACGGGGATATGCATAATTATATCTTTACATTATATTCACCTAATATGCGGAAACAATTGTGAAAACACATGTTCAGGAACAAATTTTAGAGCTTTTTTCTAAAATAAGCACGGATACACATACTTGCTATGCATTTATTTCAAAATGAACAACGAAAGCCGACTCATATAAGAACATTAGAAAATGAAAATAAAAGAAACTTGTTCAATTCAAGGTAATCAATATTTTCAATATTAAGTTCTGGATTCTGGTTCTAAAAAACCTTTTATCCGACTTAAGTAAAATTCCATGAAGGTTTGATAAAGTTGTTGATGACTGATAGCTTTAACCTTAGACTAAATTTGAATGTTAACTTAAAAACAGTTCAATTATTAGTCAAATAAGGCAAACTGAAAAATAAATGTTTCAAAAATTTTACTCTGGATACTGTCATGTGGGGATAAATAAGCTTCTATCCATAAACTTGAATGATGTTATTGATGGCTGAAAAACTTTAACCTTAGACTAAATCTAAATTAATCAGGTAAATGAAAGTACAATCTTAATGTTTGAAAGATTTATTCATTTGTGTACAAAACCCATCGAATATTATATGAGCAGATATTAAGGCATAATGACCCTTCAGTTCTAAATCATGAAATTATTGATTGAAGTTATACACCATATGTCTGTAAATAATTTATTATAATGTTATCCTTTCATTCTAATAGGGGACACATGGAGATGACGTATTAAACTAATCTTCATGACTTTTCAGTTTAAGAAATGTTGACAACTGATCTGGTCCCTGTGGAAATCATCAGCTGACTCTAAAGTCTGCCGAACATCGTATGATGGATGAAATGTCACAAAATCGTTTTCAAACCACTGTATGTCGTTTAACGTATTGTAATGATTTTTTAGCGATTGCTTAACATCCATACGTCTATATTTATAATTAATACATTGAAGCCTAAATTGTTCAAAGCATTTTGTTTTATGGTTGTGACTATTATTTATCAATCCCCGCATGTAGAGATATTTTTCGTATCACACTGACCGCAGTTAGACATGAATAAGTGACGCTAAAGTGCATTAACTTGGTTGGCCTATCCTGCAGTTTGTTGAAAAATTGTGGTATTTCCATTGGTTATATGTTATGTCGATGCTGACTTTCAAGGGTCACATTTCCTCTTTGCAACGTCGAATTGTGATTATTTCTTCAACAGTATATACAAACACTCACATGTGTCACCTGAAAATATAAATTTTGTCAAATTTGGTTCCATTCTGAAGCATACAAAAAGCTTGAAAACGCGTGATGTTTACAGATGTC